ACACACACACACACACACACACACACACACACTAACTGATCCAAACGAATTTGCTTTCGTTGCAAAAAAAACATTTATTTTTTGTTGTAAAACAAACCGTGTAAAAATATCACACTTCAGTTACACAAAAACTCGCCAAAATGTACAATTTGTTTATTGCTTCAAATCAACACACACTGCATATAATTATAAATGTCGCTGTCTGTGTTTATTTCATACAAAGCTCAAATCAAACAGGTTTGATTTGTAGATAGAAAAACGTGCTTGACACAAATATTTCTTTTTTAAAAAAAAAACGTGGATATTTCTTAATTAACCTTTCCAATAAAAGTCCTGAGAGGTCCTAAAAACAGTGGCTGAAACTATATTTAAAAAAAAAAACAAAGAAAAATGTTGTGGTTTCTGCTTCGCGCCATAGAAAACAAGAATATTATAAATAACTGTTCAGAAAGAGGCACAGGTCGTGTGTTTTTTCTCTCCATCATTCAGCCGCGCGCTTTGAAAGGCACTCGTTGCAAAGTGTGGACTCCAACAGAAACAACTCCGAGTTGTGTGTGTAATCCTGAAATGTGGGTCTGCATTCAACGTAAACAAATGCTGAATATAATTTACTCAAAACATCAGAGTGAACTTATTTCCTCACTTCGGCTGTAAATAAACTAAATGTTTGTTAACAAATTTTGTTAAGAAATTTATCATTTAAAGACAAATTACATGAGAATATTCTTTTTTTTTTTTCCTTTCTGACTTTGCACTGAGTGCCTTTAGAGCAGGGGTTCTCAAGCCATGTGGGTCTGGGGACCCCCTCATAAACCCCATGCTGTTTTAAAACATCATTTATTGTTATTTCAACCCCCAACCACCATGGAAATATATACTTTATTAAGTTTCTTATGTTTGTTTTATCAGTTCATTGTTCTCCATGCATTAAAAAAAATAAAAACCAAATTAACAATTTAGTGAAAGTTTTCGAGGACCCCCCAAGATACCTGTCGCGGACCCCTGGGGGGTCCTGGGACCTCAGTTTGAGAACCTCTGCTGTAGAGAAACAAACAAAAAGAATCCTACCTTAAACAGGAGCGTTTTGTTTTTGTTTTTGCTGCTGATTGGGTTTATTAATAATAATAATAATATTATTATTATTAGTTCAGACATTTAACAGGCGCTCGTGCCGCCCACCCCCGGCTGTAACACAGTCTGCGGCTGGCTGGACCCCGGAGGCCCCAAAGAGCCCGGTAAGACCGGGAGCACGACCGGAGAAGTCCTGGAGGACCTGAGCGGGCCTCCGATGATGCTCTCTATGGAGAAGGGGGGCCGCTGCGCCGGAGAGCCGGGCTTGTGGAGCGGGGAGGCCGCCTGGGCTCCGGCTGAGCCCGGTCCGGGGCTGAGCTGCGGGTAGAACCGGGTTCTGGGTAGATCCGTGCTGGTGGGCATCAGGGCCGGGGACGGGATCATGGAGTGTCTGTTGTGCTGCTGCTGGAAGGCAAACAGCGCAGAGTGCGCGTGGTAGGACTGGACCTGGATCCCGAACCCTCCGCAGCTGTACGGGCCGTACCCGTAGGCGGCGGCGGCGGCGGGCAGGAACCCGCCGTGGTCCCGCATCAGCTCGGGGCTCTGCTGCCGCTTGAAGCGCTTCCTCCGCCGCAGGAAGCTGCCGTTGTCGAACATGTCGGCCGACTCCGGGTCCAGGGTCCAGTAGTTGCCCTTGCCCGGGTTCCCGGGCTCGCGCGGGATCTTGACGAAGCAGTCGTTGAGGGACAGGTTGTGCCGGATGGAGTTCTGCCAGGCCGGGAACTTCTCGCGGTAGTAGGGGAAGCGGCCGCTGATGAAGTCGCAGATCTCGCTGAGGGTCAGCCTCTTCTTGGGGCTCTGCAGGATGGCCATGGTGATCAGCGCGATGTAAGAGTAGGGGGGCTTCACCAGCGGGTTCTTGCCCCCAGGCGTGCACGAGTCCCTGCGCGGGGGGGAGTCCAGGAGGATGCCGTCCATCTGCGCCGCCTCGTCCGCGCAGGAGGACCGGGTCTTGTCCGCGTCCTCGCCCTCCCCGACCACATCGATGTCGGTCTCTTCGGACAGGACGGAGGCGTCGGACATGTCTGAGCTGAGGGTCATGGCTGGGGACGGGGGCAGGACGGGAGGCAGGTGTCCGCGCGCGCGCGCGATGCGTCCATACGTCTGCTTCAGGTGCGCTTTCTGGCTTCCTCCAAAAACAAGAGAGAGAAAGGGCGCGTGCCGGGCTGAGAGCCCCTCACTACGACTGGACCTGGATCTCACGGGGGGGCGGGTCCTCTCCGTGGGTTTATACTCCCCCATCCACCCCCACCCCACCCACTGATCACGTGACCGCGCGTCATGAAAGGAAAGAAACGTTCAACAAAAACTGAAACAACAAAAAAAAAAAGGCTTTTTGAAAATGAACTGTTTTTCCTCCCCCCAGTTTTATTTAAGCTTGGTGGTCTCCGTCCTTTCTAGTGGTCTCTCAGAGCATCCAGCCTGGGAATCTGAGACAATCATTTAGATTCTGGAGGGAAAAAAAGCCGCAGGAAAAGTGTAATAACTTTTCTGGTTTCTGCTGCAAAAAAACATGTTTTCCTGCAAAAAGAGGAAGGTTTGTGTGAAATTAATCTGTGACTGAAACTAGTTTATTAACATTATTATTACTGTTATTATTATTATTATTATTATTACTGTACCTGGTATATGTACAGTGTTCTATATGACAAGTACAGTTTTCTGTTTTTCTTTTACTTTTCTTTCTTTATTCTTCTCACCCTGTCCTGTATTGAGCTGCAGTGATGTGCAAATCTCCCCACTGTGATCAATAAAGTTTTATCTTATCTTATCTTATCTTATCTTATCTTATCTTATCTTATCTTATCTTATCTTATCTTATCTTATCTTATCTAT